ATGTATGCTTTTCTGCATATACCTAGGAATGGAGTTGCTGGGCCATGGGGTATGTGTATTGTCTGCTTCCTGCTCCAGTTTTGAAAGGATCACCCAGAAGGCAGAAAAATCCCCGGGGCAGTTCGGACTCCTCAATTAACTGAAGAGCACTGTTTGAGGGACACTGCATGAAGATTATGCTCCCTCTGAAGGCTCATGTCTGGGGCTGTAGTGGAAACTGAGTCGGGCCCTGGGTTCTGGCCCTCCAGCTGCAATGGGCGTGTGACTTCTGCCTCTGGTGGCCACTCAGCGTCCTCACCCAGGGACCTCAGCTGGCCTAACAACTATCGCACTGAGCAGGGCGGGGCTTGGGGTAGACTTGGGTGGAGCTGAGGGGACCCCATCTTTGGATATGACTGGTAAAACCCCTAGAAGCTTTCTTGCCTCCTTTCTCTTTGTATTAAAAGACTCACACATGTAGCACATATTCACATCATAAGAGTTAAGTGCCTCCAAAGTGGAATGAGAGTCTATAAAAACCCGTGCTTATCGCTCCCTGTTCTTCCCACCCTCTCCCCAGAGGAGTGTTGGGGGAGCCCAGAACAGAAGTTCCAGAGTGAGGGCTATGAGCCAGGTGACCTGGCTCAGATGTCCAGTCTGCTGCTTACCTTCTGTGTGACCTTGGGCAAGTCACTTCACCTCTCTGTGCCTCATTTCCTCCCTGACAATTGGGGGCCAATAATAGTAATCCCCTCATAGGGTTGTTGTGAAGAAAAGGTGAACTAATACTTGGGAAGTGCATAGACCATACCTGACCCCTGCAGGGCAGGCATTTAGGACACCTTCTGATCCTTCTAGTCTTTTTTACCTTTACCCATTTCCTGCCTGAAGGGGCTCAGGCTGTGCATTTCCTCTGTGGTTTTCTTCTCCCACTCAATGCCATATCTTTGAGATATCCTTTCCTATATATGAGGCTTTACTGTTCTGGGGTCCTCCTTCTCCTTGTCTGTCCCTCATGGAGTACAGAACTTTCTCCCCATCTCTCTGTCCACATCTTCCCCCAGGAAAGGTTCTGGGCATGTTTATAACTGAGGTGTAAATGGCTGGTGAGGGAGGGCCACTCACAGGCCGGTAGGAAACCAGCCCTGGCCCTGAGCAGAAAGCGCACAGCTGTGGAGGGAAGCTGGGCATCCACACCGTCAAATGCCTGAGGGCCTGCTAGGTAAGGCCCACACACTCCCTGTGTCTCCTGGGATCCTCAGGAACCCCCGAGGCAGGTGCTGTGAGAGGAAACCGAGGCAGAGAGGCCAAGCAGTTTTCCCAGGCACCCTGCTGGTGTGGACTTGAGCCCAGCTGTTAGGCTGGGAAGCTCAGCTAAGCCACAACCCAGACTCAGCTTAGGGCAGAGGTAGTCAGGTGGGCAGTTCTGGTGAATGGTGGCAGGATGGGGCTGGGGGCTGCTGAGGGTGCAAATGGGGACAGCTGTCATCACCTCAGCTAAAACTGCATCCCTGCTGCGTTGTCCATGGGACCAGGAAGAGGCAGGGATTCTCTGGGGCGTCAGGTCCCCTGGTCTCCTCAGGAGGAGGGTGTAACCTGGGGGTGGGCGCAGGGGACAAGGTTCTTTGGGGAAACACTGTAACCCTGTGTCTGTACACTGTGTACTTGAGGCTCCTGCTGTTACCGAATGCATGCACAAAGGGCTCTCCCCAGCCTGGCGGGTCTGGAAGTCAGACGGCAGGGAGGGACCCGAGGCAGCTGGCTCTGCAGTGCCCTCCTCTCAGCTCTTCCTGATCAGCATGGGTGCTGGCGGAGGCTGTGAGTGGCCCTTAGGCCTTGAGATTGGGCAGGTGTGCTTGGGGGCTCAGGGAGGGGTGGTTAGCGTGCCCAGGTCTCTTCTAGACCACCCATCCACACTTGGGCCCCCTCAAGGGCCTCCCTTAATCCGACACAAACCCACGCAGATCACCCTCAAAGTGACCCAGGCTGGTGTGCCAAGGGCAGAGGCTGAGACTCCAAGGGAAGGAGCAGCCTTGCTTGACAGAGGGGATGGGATGGGACAGGCCAAGGCTGCCGACACCTTGCTGTTCACAGTTCTCCAATGTCCCCTCCCAGGATGCTTACACAGATCCCAAGCAGGTGGTGGGGATTCCTGTGTCCATTTTACAAATGAACAAACTGAGGCTGGTGCAGCCAGTGAGAAGCGGAGCAGGGCCTCGCTCCCTCCTGAGGCAGAGCCAGCTCTGGCCCAGCCCAGGACGGGCGCCCAGCCTTTGTCAGAGGAACAAGGGGCTCGTTCTCCCCTAGTCCTCCCATGCCGGCTGGCACTGCCAGGCCCAGAGCCATCACCCTAGGGCCTACTGAAGTCAGATTGTTCCTGAGTGGGAGGGGCTCCCCAGCGCTGGTGAGTGTGTAGGGGGTGCAGCTGCCAGGGAAGTAGGCTGGGCCAGGGTCAGAGCCCCAAGGTCTGTAGGACTTCAGGGGGTTGGGGGGCTGAAAAGACAGGCTCTCCCTCTCTGGGAGCACAGGGAAGGTGTGGGGTGGAGGGTGCAGCTGGCCCTTGCTACAGGACAGAGAAAGGGGGAAAGGGGAGTGTCTGCTCCTTTCTCCTTGGGGACTGTCCTACTGAGAGCTGGATGGAGAGACCCCAGGGGCTGATACAGCCCCTCCACTAATTCCTGCCTGGGGGCAGGGCTGGGAGGAAGGAAGGTGAGGGAAGGGCCACATACAGCAAAGCCTGAGGCAGGTGGTGCTATCCTACAGTGTAGGGAGGATGGAGGGGCCCCGGGCTGGGTTAGGCGGCCTGGGCTCCATTCCTGGTCCTGATCAACCGGACATGCAGGCCGGGACAAGCTCCCTCCCAGCTGTGCCTAGGGTCACGGTGGCCTCAGACCCCCCAGCAGGGGTTGGGAGCCCCACTGCCTGGGGTTGGGCCTTGCTCTGTGTCTGCCACAGACACTTAACCCCCCTGTGCCTCTGTTTCTCCTGATCTGTAAAAGGAGGCTAATAATCCAAACTACCTCTTGGGGGTCTTTGAGGTGAAAGTGCTTGGAACAGTGCCCAGAACACAATAAATGCTCAAATAGATGCCAATTTTTACTATTTCCATGATCCAATGATTTTCACTGATTTGCCAGTTCCTCCTGCTAATACCGACTTAGGCTGGTGTCTGGCAGTAGGCAGAATGTGTCAGCCCGGGCCACCTGCAGAGGTCTGGGTCTCCTTCTTAGCAGCTTGGGGCACAGCTCTGGCCTGTTGTCCACACTGCAGCTGACTCCACCAGGCTTACCCATCACTCACCCGCTCAGCCTACCAAGGGCCATGCACTGTGCCAGACACGTTATTTTCATTTAATGCATTCACCAATCTTCTGAAATAGAAACTGTTTACAGATAAGGAAATAGACCTGGAGAGGTTAAGTGACTGCCTGAGGTCATATAGCAGAGAAATGGCAGATTTGGGATTCAGGACCCTGTCTGCCCTGTGTGACAGTGCCTGCTCACCTACCATAGAACCTCTATGGGGCCTGGGCACCTCTTAGAGAGTCTCCTCTCATCTTAGCTGGGAGGGACTTTAACAATAGCCCCATCTAACCCTTTTGTTTTGTGCACAGGGCCACTGAGGCTCAGAGAGGGAGAGGGGTGTGCCCAGGGTCACTCAGTGAGCTAGGGACTCAGTTGCAGGACTCATTCTGTCCTGTCCTCTCCCCTTCTGGAGTGGGCTTAGGGACTTAGTTCCCCTGTCCCACTGAGACCCATCGAAAACAAGGGCTGATGTGCTGGGCTGGGGACAACCTTCCCTGGGCCTTGAGAGGCCCAGGTGCCCTGAAGCAGCCCTCCCTGCACAGGGTTGTAATGGCCTGTGGACTTGCCACTCGCGTTTATGGGACTGTAGACTCCATGAGCTCAGGGTATATTGCCAGTGCCTGGTTCATAAATAGTGATCATTCCCTGCCCACATTCAGGGGGCATCTACCATGTCCCAGGCCCTGGGCTAGAGGCCGAAGGCACAGCAGTTAACCAGACAGACAAAATGCCTGCCCTCAGGAATTTACATTCCTAGTGAGAAACAGACAATGAGTGGGATAACTAAGCAAAATGCTTAATACTCAAGATGGTGGCAAGTGCTAGGGAGAAACATAAAAGAGGAAAGGTCTGAGGGAGCATGTTAGGTGGCAGATAGGGATTTTGCCATTTTAAACAGGGTGGTCAAGGGAGGTCTGTGTAAGGACGTGACATTTGAACGTTGGAGGAGGTAGAGGGATGAGCCATGGTGCAGTTGGGAAGGGCATCACAAGCAGAGGGCAGAGCAAGTGCAAAGGCCCTGGGGTAGGCGTGTGCCTGGCATGTTCAAGGGACTGCTGGGGCTGGTGGGTGTGGCCGGAGCAGGTAGAAAAGGGGAGAATAGGAGATGGGGTCAGAGGGCACCAGGAGGTGGGGACAGATCACACAGGGCCTTTTATGGTAAGGATTTTGGCTTTACTTGGAAGTGGGAGCCCTGGAGAGTTCTGAGCAGAGTGAGGACGGGATCTGGCTTAGGTTTTAACAGGATCACTGTGTCACTGAGTTGCAAATAGTATGTTGCAGAGCAAGAAAGGAGGGAGTCTGAGCATGAGGAAGTCCCTTCAGGAGGCTGGATAAGGCGTGGTAGAGGCTGGGCCCACACTGGTGGCAGTGTGGCGGTGGGAGAGGAGAACGTATTTGAGGTCAGATCGGACAGGATCGCCATGTATCATGAGAGGAAGAGAGGCGTCAAGGTTGACGCCAAGCTCTGGGGGCTGACCAAATGCAGTGAATGAAGGAGAGGGAGGCTTCACTCCTGACCTAGGAACCAGGAAACTTGGACTCGAGTCTCAGATCTGTCACCCACTGGCTTGGTTACCTTGGGCTAATTACTTCCCCTCTCTGGGCCTCAGTGTCCTCTCCTATGTAGTGGGTGAGACACTCCTTACCCTGGGCCCTCCCTAAGGCCTAGAGCTCAGAAGAGGACCTGTGCCTCACAGCCCTGCCTCCTGTTCACAGGGAGCCAGTGCCAGCAGGCGCCATGGCCTCGCGCATTGGGCTGCGCATGCAGCTCATGCGGGAGCAGGCGCAGCAGGAGGAGCAGCGGGAGCGCATGCAGCAGCAAGCCGTCATGCACTACATGCAGCAGCAGCAGCTGGGGGGACCCTCCACCCCCGCCATCAACACCCCCGTTCACTTCCAGTCTCCACCACCGGTGCCCGGGGAAGTGCTGAAGGTAGGGCCTGCTCCCACCGGTCCCCTCCCACCCTGGTCCCGGGAGCCCCTAGAGCCCTTGCCTTCTTCTCCACCCAGGTGCAGTCCTACCTGGAGAACCCCACCTCCTACCACCTACAGCAGTCCCGGGACCAAAAGGTGCGGGAGTACCTGTCCGAGACCTACGGGAACAAGTTTGCTGCTCACGTCAGCCCTGCCCAGGGCTCCCCCAAGCCCCTGCCAGCTGCCTCCCCTGGGGTGCGGGCTGGACACGTGTTGTCCTCCTCCACTGGCAACAGCGCTCCCAACAGCCCCATGGCCATGCTGCACATTGGCTCCAACCCGGAGAGGGAGGTGAGTGAGGTGTCTGCCGCCAGCAGAGCTGGTCGTCTAGTGTCACACTGTAGGGACTCCTAGTCAATGGCAGAGGCAAGGCGCTGCCCTCAGGAGCCCCAGTCTGAGGGAGACACAGCCCTGCCCTTGGGGAGCCCGTCTCACAGGGAAAGCATCACCCCTACATCTGAGAGCTCTGCTAGGGACACACAGGAGACTCACGGGAAAGCCCAGTACAGCTGCAAAGCCATGTCTGGACAGAGGATATGTAACACTGTGTGCCTGGGCAGCTTGGTTCCTTGGGAAGAGCCCTGGCCTAGGCCTTGGGGGCTGTGGGACTTGGATAGCTTATCTCTCTGGGCCTGTGCCTGTTGAGGTGAGCAGGTTGGGTGAGGTGGGCTCCAGGGTCCCTTCCAGTCAGTGGCTGGCCCAGGGCCCCTTCTTCTGCCCTTCTCCCAGTGGGCCCTCCTCAGACAGACTTTTCTCTTTCAGTTTGATGTCATCGACAACATTATGTGTCTGGATGATGTCCTGGGCTTCATCAACCCTGAAACTCAGATGCCCAACACGGTACTGTTGGCCGGGGTGGGGTGGGGCCGGGTGTCAGAGGAGGGGGCAGAGGCCCCACAGTGGCTCCGAATCTGGGGAGAACGAAGGATGGGTCCTCACCCAGGCACAGCCAGTATCTCTCTGCAGAGACAAGCATTGTCTCCATCGAGTCAAATCGTGATAAGGGTCCAGGGCCAAGCAGAGTTATGAATCCAGAGATGTGCCTCAGCCTATGTGCATGATGGAGCTTCAGCAGGGAGAGGTGGCTGAGCAGGCGGGGAAGGCTTCCAGGGTAGGGGAGGGGCAGGTGGCACTGGTGTTGGGCCTCAGCACTGGGGAGGCCTGGGAGGGCAGCGGCGTGGCCACAGGAAGGCCTGGAGCTGCTGAGTTCCTTTGGGATCTGGGGCTTCCCCCTCCCTGCCGGCACAGGCCTGTCCCTCACTCCATGGAGGCAAGTGATACGGGGTTGACTTTGTCCCCTCCCTCTGCCAGCCTCCTGGCAGTGTGAATGGTCTCTGGGCCTCCTGGGAAGAGGTGAGGTAGCAGGTGGGAAGGAGCCAGGCTTAGAATCAAGAGGCTGTGACCTTGGGGAGTATGTTGAGCATGCTGAGCCCCAGTTTTCTCAGCTGAAAAACAGAGATGCCTTCTACTCCCAGGATTGTGGGAAGATTAGATAAGACAAGAATTTGGGGGCTGGATCTGCACAAGGGTGACAGATACTTAGACTCAACAGGTAGAATTGTGGGTGTTCCCATCCCTCTTTTGGAGGTCCTGAACCTCAGCTGCTCACTTCTACCCCTTGGGCCTGAGCCACTGAGGGGAAGTCCCCAATTCATGAGGTGGGGAGTTAAGGAATCAGTCCTCAGTGCCCACTGTTCTGTTGACATGCCCAGTGGCTCCACAGGGGCATCAAGGGCTGGGAAGGGAGGACATAAGCATCTGGTCCCTTTAGTGGTTTCTGTGTACCCTGAGGGTACTAAGCCTGTGATTTGCTCTGCATGTTTCTGTGGCAGGAGCTGGGGAGATCTTTCCAGGGCTCAAATATGTCCCTGTCAGCCCTCTGCTTAAGCCCCCACTGGCTGCCCATCGCAAAATCCCAGAGTCTTTGCCTGTCAAACCCTGTTCTCCAGGGTCCAGCTGCACCTCCTGCCCTGCCTGGACCCCACTCGGCTCCTCCAGCTTGAACGGCTTGAGGCCACCACACTGCACCAGTCCCCTTCCTCAGCCGCTCCCCTGCCCCCCTACCCCCCAGCCGGGTGCCCTTCCTCCAGTCTCTGCTCAGGGCTCAACTCAGTTTCCACGCCCTCCAGAAACCTTCCAGAAACTCCAGAATAGATTAGGTGCTCCTCCCCTGGCCTCCTGATGCCTGGGGCAGAATCATCCTGTTCCCCAGTCTGATCACTCTCTACAGTGGTTCTAGCCACTCGAGGGGGACCGGTTGCTCTTTGAGGGCAGGGACTTCCCCTCCTTCAGCTCTGGACTCTGCAGCCTCTCAGCGGGAGCTGCTGGGTGACAAGGCCCAGGGTGAATTCTGACATCCTTGGTGCTGGCTGAAGGACCCCTGAGAGCTGCCACTGTGGTCCGGGCGACACCAGGACAGCTTCCTCCAGGACGTCCCTGGAATGGCTGTTTCTAGGACGCTGGACCCTGGGGAGGGCCTCCCACGGAGAGGGAGCTGCTCAAGGGGTTTCTGTCCCTGCCTCATTCCACAGCTGCCCCTGTCCAGCAGTCACCTGAATGTGTACAGCGGTGACCCCCAGGTCACAGCCTCCCTGGTGGGCGTCACCAGCAGCTCCTGCCCTGCCGACCTGACCCAGAAGCGAGAGCTTACAGGTACCACCTCCCTGCCTCCCTGTGCTCTCCCTGGCTCCCTCCTCCTCCCTTGTTTTCTCCCTCCCGCCCAGCTGCTTTCTCCTTCTCCCCTGGCCTCCAGACGCTGAGAGCCGGGCCCTGGCCAAGGAGCGGCAGAAGAAAGACAATCACAACCTCAGTGAGTCCCGCCTACCTGCCACTCCGGTCCTCTCACCTGGGCTAGCTGGAAGGCCACTTACCTGCTCAGATTCTAGGAAGGCTTCTCTCCACAAAGCCTTACGTCCTCGCCTTGGGGTGACTGGGTGGGCTCAGCACTGCCCTCCTCCTGCTAGCCCTCTTTAGGAGGGGGTGGGGAGGGGCTCCAGGGAAAAGATAGTCATGAAATCCCCAGTACACCGAGTGAAAGAGCTTATCAGATTGTTTTCTTTAGGGTGTGGAAACTGAGAACTCCTGGGAAGGAATCTGGACAGCAGGGGGAGTCCTACCCTAGGCGGCTCTGCTGTGTTTACAGCCTGCCCAGGGCTGATTTGCCTGGAACTGCCCCTTAGTTGTGTCTGGCCTGCGCCTGACCCCCTCACCCCTCTGGAAATCCCATTCTGTTGGTCACCCATTATTTCCTAGAAGGGCTTGGGCACCCCTTGGTGGGCTTGGCCCTTTTCCCTAGGGGGTCCTCCTCCCTTAATTTGCTCCTTCTGCAATTTGTTACCTTTAGTTGAAAGGAGGCGGAGGTTCAACATCAATGACCGCATCAAGGAGCTGGGAATGCTGATCCCCAAGGCCAATGACCTGTGAGTGTCTGGTGGGGGAAGGGTAGGGGTCAGGGTGGGCAGTGGCTGAGGAGCAGGATCTGGACCCAGCCCTGTGCTGGTTGCCAGGGGACAGGGATGGGAAGAGACTCCTTCGGTGCTGCCTTCTCAGAGCTTGTCATCTATGTGGGAAAAGAAGATCCTTCTCTTGTCCAAATCAGGAAAGCTCAGGACAGGTGGGCAGTTGTCCTGGAAGTAAGGCTGGGTCAGGAGGTACTTACCAGAGGAGAGTCGCACTGGGGATGTGTGGCGAGGGTACTGGACTGGTGCGGAGGTAGTCCAGAAGTAGGGGTCAGGAGCCGAGGACAGGTATGGGTTTTGGCCCAGGAATGGAAGGCCTAGGGAAGGAGACTGCTCCACGTTGCTTGGTCCCATGAGATTAGTGAGGTGGGTGTTGGCAGGAAAGTCACTAGGAGAGCTTGTTCTTGTTTAGCGTCCTCTGTAAATAAAAAAAACAAAAACCCAGGTCTGGGGTTTGTGGGCAAAGCTGGGATAGGTGCTGTGGGCTTCAGAAACCTAAGCAGGGTTTACTTACACCCACCAAATGTGTGGTAAATACCAGGCCAGTCCTCTGAGCCCGCACCTCTGACTCTGCCTGGCCTGCAGGGATGTGCGTTGGAACAAGGGCACCATCCTCAAAGCCTCTGTTGATTACATCCGGAGGATGCAGAAGGACCTGCAGAAGTCCCGGGAGCTGGAGAGCCATTCTCGGCGCCTGGAGATGACCAACAAGCAGCTCTTGCTCCGCATCCAGGTCTGGCCCCTGCACTTGGACTTCTTGGGTAGCTTTGACTCCTGACCCCGGTCCTAGCTTTTGACCCCAAAGCAGTGCGTGCACTTCTGAAATTGAAGACAGGAATGACACCCATGAGGAGAGAGGATGTATCAGTCAGGATGTTATGGTTTAGTGACAAATAATCCCCAGCAACTTTTAAGCAACAAATATCACTGGAGGTTCTGTTCAGTGGAATCCTCATTCTGGGGCCCATGCCAACAGGCAGGCACATGTAGAGCGGGCTCTTAAAGCCATGTGTCACTTTAAAGGTGATGCTTGTCACTTATGCTCACAACGCCTTGATCAGGGCAAGTACGTGCCTGCATGTAACCTCAAGAGGGCAAGAAAGTGGAAGCCTGCCATGCGTGGGAGGCAGAGAGGTGGAACTATTCAGTGGCTGGTGCTAAGAATCATTGTGGGGGCAAACTAAAGTACAGAGACTTGGGAGAGTCAGTTCTACCACCTGGGTGGAGAGTTCTAGGCTCTTGGTTAAGGGCTTCTGTCCTCTGGACCTCAGGCTGGTCATCTATACCATCAGAGTGATTGGATTGCAGCTCTTAAACTTTCCTATTTTTCAGAGTAGAAAATACAGTTTGCATTACAATCCAGCACACATAGCCACACTCAAAGTGAAAAATCAAGGTTTCATGAAAGAAGCCTCATCCTTAAGAGATGGAGTGTATCCTGATAATTCCTATTCTAGTCTGGTCTAGGCAAGTCTAGTTCAGTTAAGAAAACAGAGCTGATCAAGACTCACTGCAGTGGTCTCACAACCCACTAATGAGTTGTGACTTGTAGTTTGAAAAAACACTGGTCTAGACTCCACAGTTACCTATGCTTCCTTCCAGCTGAGACATTTTGTGGTCTTGAGTGCCCCAAGGTGGGGGGCTGCAGCGGGGGCCCGGGAGGAGCTGGTGCCTCTGGATGTGTCCCCAGCCCTCTGTGCGCCCCACCTACAGGAGCTGGAGATGCAGGCCCGAGTGCATGGCCTCCCCACTGCCTCTCCTTCGGGCATGAACATGGCTGAGCTGGCCCAGCAGGTGGTGAAGCAGGAGCTGCCCAGCGAGGAGGGCCCAGGGGAGGTCCTGCTGTTGGGGGCTGAGGTCCCTGACCCTGAGCCAGTACCCATCCTGCCCCCCCAGGCCCCGCTGCCCCCGCCAGCCCAGCTACCACAGCCACCATCCCCATTCCACCAACTGGACTTCAGCCACAGCCTGAGCTTTGGGGGCGGGGTTGATGAGGGGCCGCCAGGCTACCCTGAACCTCTGGGGCCAGAGCACGGCTCCCCATTCCCCAGCCTGTCCAAGAAGGATCTGGACCTCATGCTCCTGGACGACTCACTGCTACCACTGGCCTCTGACCCACTCTTCTCCACCATGTCCCCTGAGGCGTCCAAGGCCAGCAGCCGCAGGAGCAGCTTCAGCATGGAGGAGGGCGATGTGCTGTGACCCTGGCTATCCCCATACTGGGGAACAGGGACAGGCCCAGGGGCTGGGAGGGCCAGGGCCACCTCCCTCCCACCCTGCAGGATGCACTTGTGTGTGAAGTAGCCACCTGCCCTGCCTCACTCCTCCCTGTCAGCCCTCTGTTTGGACTTAGTGCCTGCTTGGCAGCCTGCAGCATTGGGAGAAGCCCCCTGCCTGGTTCAGTACCCCCAGGGGCAGCCCTCTTGATGGGGCTGAGCAGGAATAGGCCTTCAACTGGCTCAGGAGCTGAAATGCAAGGAAGGGGGGGACAGGGTATGCTAGAGGGAAGAGGAGGTCCTGGGAGGGTCCTCTCTTCTGAGCCTGGTCCCCTTACCCCTGCCCCATCCCTGCCCCGTGCTGGTGAAGGATACATTGGAGCAGGGGGTTCGGGAAGTTCCTTCTCTGAGGCAGCGACTGGTCCAGGGGGTGCCCAGGCCTGCCTTTCTGGGACTTAGGTGGCAACAAGCCCTTCCTCCAGTGTGGCCCCCCACCCTCCTTTGGTGCTAACAGCTCTCCACCAGGTGGTGTGAGGGCGGGCGTGGCCAGAAGAGGGGGCGCTGGGTCCCGGCCAGAAGAGCAGCTCCCCTCCAGGCTCCCCACTTTGTGCCTTTAGTAAACACTGCTTTGTACCTGCTTGTCCTGTCTCTTTGGGGTGGGTCTGGGGCTAACAGAACAGGAGAGGTGTCAACCCAATGGACTTCTTTCTGGACTCAGACAGAGTTCAAATGCCCCCGATGGGGGTCAGGGCCGGGGTTACTGAGAGGAGGGAACAAGCCCATCACCTGGTCCCCACAACTCCCCACCCCTGCCCCATGGGAAGCTGGGGATACAGACCTATTTAGGGGGGCTTGGATGCTGATGGAGGCACTTACCCTCCTTGCGGCCGCAAGATGGCGCTGCAGCCACACTGGTCCCACACCTCCCCTGTGTCCTGAAGACGGCTGAGCCGGATAGCGTGGGGTGCCTGGCTGCTCATAAACCAGCTCTACTGTTCTTGGTCGCTGCTTTGGGGCACCCTTGGCTCAGGCTCTCCCTGGTCCGGGGTGAGGGCATGTTTTTGCTTTTTTTGCTGTGTCCCACACCAGTTCTAGTGGTGACCTCTCCGAGTTCCAACCCCTCCCTAGGTGGGCTGAGACTGCTTGGGAGGGTCAAGCTGCACAGCCTTGGGGGGTAAGGCCAGCCCCTCTGCTCTCTCAGTGTCTCTTGCAGGACAGGCTCGTGGCTGAAGGCCTGCGTCCTATGGGTTTGGGGAAAGGGGCCCACATGAACTAGTTTGGGAGGACACAGGAGCCCGGGATGCTGGGTGGGGCCCAGGACAAGGTTTATGCTGTGCTCTGGCACTGGCAGTGAGGCTTGGGCAGATCCTTAACTCTGGGCTGCAGTTCCCCCACCCCATAATTGTTCCCAGGGGCCTCTGATCCAAGATCCTGGGGTTTTATGACCACATCCAAGGCTTGGGACAGTGAGGGGTGGCATGCCAGCTTCTTCAGCCCCAGGTGCCGGGTGGGGAGAGAAGGGTCTTTGGGGCTTTCCCTGGTTCCTATGTCCACAGGCTCTTCAGGCAGAGACCAAAATGGCTTCTTCCTATGGGGCCCTGAGAGGCTGAAGGGGCCTAATTAAGAAAAATTTTAAATCCCAGGATGAAAATGGCTAAGAGGGCAATTTCCTTTGTGCAGAATGGGAGATCAAATCAACATTGGAGCAATTAACATGTGGGGAGTGAAGGAAAGGGGGCTGGGTAAGTGGGCACTGATGGAGGCTGGGCTGGCGGAGGCTGCAGGATTAATCGCAAGGTCAGATGGAGCTGTGGATGACCTTATGGAGTGTGAGATGGCCTGGGTGCTGGCACCTTCTTCCAGTTCCAGTCGCCACCCCACTACCAGGGTCCTGCTGGGCCCTGGGAACCCCCCTCCCCATTCCAGCCCCTCCTGGGGCAAGCCCTGGACCCTGGCTGGGAGATACCTGATGCATCCAGGCTCAGCCTGCATTTGCTTTGCAGGGGATGGAGGTCCGGGAACTCCCAAGGCCAATTCTTCCGAGGATTAACTCTCTCCTAGCCCATTTGTCCTTTCCCTTCATCGTGGGGAGGCTTGTGCTGCCCATCTGCTTTCTCCTGCAGCCCCTCCACTGCCTGCTTGCCTCCTGCGCCCTGGGTTACTTCAGCCCCGCCACTGCATTTTGGGAAGCAGGGTCTGGACCACCCATTGGGTAGGACTGAGGGTGGGAGTAGGGTTCTGCCCACAAGAGGGCGTTGCAGGGCCAAGACCTGGTTGCAGCAGTCCCGGTCTCTGGGAGAGGGTGGGGGAGTCTCAGGTTAACCGTACCTTCCAAGCTGTCTGCCTGGGAGCCCTGGAGTCCTGCCAGTTTGGTTAAGGCAGGCCGGGCTGCTACCTCCAGCATTTCAACAAGCCACCAGAAAGTGTTCAAATATCCAAGCCTGGTCTGCACGACCCTTAGCTTGTAGCCAGAATGGAGTGGGGGCCTACATCTTCTGACTGGTGGTTATGAGCATCTCTAATTCAGTAAGAGGGGGGTGCATTCTTACCCGTGTTCTTTATTTCATAGACAACACCTTTCCAGATATCGAGTCCATTGGACGAAATTATTTTTAAAAAGGTAGAATGAGTAAGTAGGCTGGAATGAAGGCAGGGATAGACCTGTCCCACCCCCTCATTTCACCAAGGAGGCCCCACTGCCTTGAGAACAAGCAAAAGTATGGGGTACGAGTGGAGTGTGAGAAATGGGTCCAAACTTGGCAGGAGAAGGAAAAGCAGCTGTGGCTTTCTTGGGTCCAGCGTGGGGCCCCAAAGCAGGAGACGGGGTGCTGGATGTGAGGGTTCCACCATCCACAGCCCTGCTCCTGTGTGTGTGTCTCCACCATCCACTGGTCTCTCACCTCCGTGTACTGTGAAGGAGTTGGGTCCCCAGATATGGTATACCCCGGAAGATGGCTTCCTTCCCTGCCTTCCGAGGACAATCTCCCCTTCTGGTTGTTCAGACAGAAGACCAGGAGTGGATGGTAGGCCATGCTGAGGCCCCTGGGGGTGTCACTGGCTCTCTGTTCCTTAGTACCCACCTCCTCAGTGTTGGGAAGTCCTGGATGTCCACCTGCACCTCTTCTGAGGCCTGTCCTGTGGGACAGGGCTGTCTGGGGAGCTGGAACTGCAATGAAGCTGGCTGGGGGAAGCCTGGCCTCAGTATATCCTCCTTGGAATTTCACAAGTCTCTATCACTCTCTGCTTCTTTAAATCAGAGGATCTTACTTAACTGTTTGGAGCCATTGACTTGGATGAGAGTCTGATACACATTATAGAATTTCGCCCACGCCCACCTAGCCTCCTAAAAACAAAAGCCAAGTTTAACACTCCTGCTTCAACCCATGTCCCCTTCCCCATCTGAGAGCCCACTCCTCTCCTGCCCCTCCAAGCCACCTGGAATGACAGCTTGAGCAGTTAGAAAGAGCCCTTCTGATTTACCTCCTGTCCCCTGCCTGCTGGGACCCCCACCTTTCAGGGTCCAGGCCCATCCCCCTCTTAGCCTCCTCCAGCCTTATCTTATCTTTTTTCTTTGCTCTGTCTTTTCCAAGGAGGGCAGTGGAATTTATACAATATTTAAGCAGCCAGAGCCGAGTCCGGGAAGATATTATTAATGTAAAAGGGACGGGCTGCAAATGCTTTTGGACCTGGTTACAATTAGAGGGTGATTTTTCTAAAGGTCAATGAATTCAGATAATATCCACAGGGGGGAGAGAAATTTAATACCTTTTTAGTGAATTAATTAATTATAATATTATATCGGCTTGGGGTTCTTTTCCAGAGTGATTAAGGGAGCGATCTGTCTTCTGTAAGGCCGGGGAAAAACACCTGCCACCAGCAAGGACCCTATCTGGGACTCAGAATAGGACCCTTCCCTTTCCTCTCACCCTGGTGGTGGCCAGGGAACAGCAGGGGAGGCAGGCAGGACCCAGTCTGGTGAGGGCAGGCACAGAGATCTGCAGCACCCTTTCCCTGTGGCTGTCCCCATGCGGGGCCCTCTTCCTGTCTGTCTGTCACTGAGAGCAGGTCCCTCCAGGGCCAGGAGAGCTGGGTGTGAGTTGTGGCCTTCTTTACACTGGGAGAAACTGAGGCGCACAGGATTCAGACTTGCCCTGAAGTTAGTGGGAGTTAAGGCAGACCAGGGTGGGATAGCTGGTTGGAAATAATGAGAAGGCTCCCCCAAGCTCCCAAACTAGGCCTTCTGGAAAATCTCCACTGGCCAGAGGCCCATGGAGCCACCTGTGAGGGTTCCCTTTTCAGAAAGAGGCTCTTTAAGGGTGTGGCGTGTGCCTAGGCTTGGCTTATAAAATGAAAACACTCCAGAAGGGCTGAGATGTCATGATGCAGCAAGGCTGGGCCAGGGAATAGCTAACTTTCTGTCCTTGGAGGGACCTGAGTGCCAGGGAAGGCACTTTTCACCTGCTTGTTCATTCATTCATGTGTTCGATCCATCATTCATTCATTCAACAAAACCCTGTGGCACACCCTCTCTTATGCTATCACAGACCGATTGAAGTTGCCCTTCTCAAGCCCCTGTACTTGAGCCCTAGCTGCTCATCTGAACAATGAGAGGCGGGCTGGGGAGACCTGTGTGTCCCTTTCCACCCAGACAATAGTCCCCGCCTCTACCTGAGGGCAGGGAGAAGGGCTAGGAGGTAGAGGTCGTTCATCCACTCAGCAAACCCTGGGTGCTCACTTTGGAGATGGCCCCGTGCTGGGTACCAGGAATGCTTGGGTGGATAAAGGACAGTCCCTACTCTCTAGGAGCCAGTCCCTGGGGCAGGCGGGCTCGGGGAGACAGACGCAGCACAGCCTCAGGCAGGGGCTTAAAGAAAGGGAGAGGCGATGCTAAGTAAGTGGGGAGGGGCCAGGCTGAGGTCAGGGAAGGGGTATTCAGCCGCAGCGTGAAAAGGACCCCTGCGGATGAGAGGGCGGGCGCGGCTGGCACTACGGGAGGCCGGTGGGCGGCTGCCCCTGTCCCCAGCCACGGGCCCAGACATGTTGGGTGGAAGGCGCTTCCACGAGGCCAGAGGTTCCGGGTGCAGGAAGGCAGGGAGCAGCCAAGCGCCGCGGGCCTGGTCTAAGTGTGGGCTCTGCGTCGGCTTGTTCTGTGATGGGGGTGGAGGGGTGGTTGGGGCAGGGGCAAGTGGAGCTCAGAGCCTCAGGTGCCCCTCCCATACTGGGGGGATTTTGAAAGTCGCCTCCTAAGTTGCTGTATCAGTTAGAGGAATAGTGAAGGAGGTGCTGGGTGCAGTCACCTGCCCAGGCTGTGGCGCCAGAGGGCAGAGCCCCCAGGGGGCCCCGGCTGTGCCCTCGGGTCCTTTTCCATCGCAAGGGGCGCCAGCAGAGGCGTAGCCTGAGCACCTTTCTGGGGCGGGGGGAGACCAGCGCCTCTCTCTCACCGCAGCCCTACCTCCCCTTCCCGTCTCAGCGCCTCCTCCCCCAGCCGCCTCCCTGGCCGTCCCCAGCCCCTCCCCTGCCTCTCTTCCCTTTACGTGTGCGGCGAGCTGGGGAGGGCCTTCCCATTGTACCATCTTTGGGCCCTAAATTAAAATTGATGACATCTTGAAATGAGCAGTGAGGGTAATTTTGCT